AGTCAAGTTAGCATACCCAGACATCGCTCAGTGCAAGTTCATCCACTGGTGTCTACTCAGTCTGTATAGCCACTCCCTTTAAGAAGATCAGCTCTCCTTCATCCAGGAATAATCAGTTGCCAATAGTTCTTCAGTTAAGATTGGGGCCTGTTGCCTCTTTTCCCAGTTCTATGCTGGGTTTTTACGTGCTTGAGCTTGAGTTTGCATGGGTCTGGTGCATGCCAGCACCATTGCTGTAGATTCACATGAGCAATGTCCTAGAAACTTGTAAGACTCTGTTTCCATATGGTCATACACCTCCTCCCCTGACTCTTACAATCTTTCCACCCCTCTTCCACAATGGTCCCTGAACCCTGTGTGGGTGGAGTTTAATATGGGATTCCTGTCCAAGGTCCCACACTCTGCAGACTCTTATGCTCTATGTTTTGGCCATTTGTGGGTTTTTGTATTCATTGCCCTCTGTTGCATGAGGGAGCTTCATTGATGAGAGTCAAGAGATGCATTAATATTCTTTATAGCATTTCTTTTACTATGTTTAATGAACCTTAAGTATAGAGGTTCCATGTGTCACTTAGGGTTGGGCATTTTACAGGCACTTATTCTCTACATGTTACCAGTTGTGAAACTCTGTAATAGTCTCCATCTGTTGCAAAAGAAACTTCTTTGATGAGTGGTGACTGGTATACTTGGCTGTAAATACAAAGATCCATATTTAGCATATAGTAAGAAACTGCATTTGTCTAGGGACGTGACAGCCTTAGGGTTTTCTCTAAGATTTATGAGCGCTCCAGTCATGTGTATTTGGCTAGGTTTACAATACCACACATGAGTTCCCTCCCATTGAGCGGGCTTTAACTCCGATTTAGTAGCTGTTGACTAGCCCAAGATAAAAGTGCCACGACTGTACCAATGTAGTTTGCTGTGCCGGTCATTATTGAGGAAATTAGGCCTTAAAGCTGGGGTTGGATCATCAATTGATGTTCTCCCTTAGCAGCTTGCATAGTGTTCCCCAAAACTATGAGAACTCTGTTCAGCTCTATAGGCCATCTTTTAATTGAGTCATTTGTTTTCTTGATTTTTTTTTAGTCTTTTATATATTCTGAATATTAAACCTCTGTCAGATGTGTCACTGGTGAAGTTTTTTTTCTCACACTGTGGGTTTTCTTTTCACCTCCTTGGTTGCTTCTTTTGCTATACAGGAACTTTTTAGTTTAATGAGGTCCCACTTAATTGATTGTTGACCTCAATTCCTGAGCAACTGATGGCTGATTTAGAAAATCCTTTCTTACACTTATATTTTCTAGGGTACTGCCTATGTTTTCTTCTAATGGTTTCAGAGTTTCAGGTTTCACACTGAGGTCTCTGGTCTACTAGGAGTTGACTTTTGTGCAGGGTGAAAGACAAGGCTCTAGTTTCATTCTCCTACAGGAAACGTTCTGGTTTTGCCAGCACCATTTATTGCAGATGCTGCCTTTCCTCCAGTGTGTGTCAACTATCAGGTGGATGAAATTGCATGTACTCATGTTTGAGTCTTTAATTATGTTCCAATGATCTATGTGTCTATTTGTGCCAGTATAGTGCTGTTTTTATGACTTAGCTCTGTAATATAGTTTGAGATCTGGTATAGTAATCTCCCCAGCATTGTTGCTCTTTGTGCTCAGGATTGCTTTGGCTATCTGGGGTCTTTTGTGATTCCATGTGAATTTTAGGATTTTTTTTCCCTAATTCTGTGAAGAATGTCATGGGGGTTTTAATTGAGATTGCACTGAATTTATAGATTGCTTTTGATAGAACAATCATTTTCACAATATTAAATCTTCCAGTCCATGAGCATGGATCCTTCCAGCTTCTGGTGTCTTCCTCAATCTCTTTCTTCAAACATTTGAATTTTTCATTGTAGAGATTTTTAATGTCTTTGGTAAGTTTATTCCTAGATATTTTTGAGGCTGTTGTGAATGGGAGGATTTCCATGGACTCCTTCTCTGCTCATTACTGGTATAAAGAAAGGCTACTGATTTTTGTAGATTGATTTTTTTTAACATGCCACTTTGCTGAAAGTGTTAATCTTTTCTAGGAGTTTTCTGGCAGAATTTTTGGCATCTCTTATGTATAATATGATATTATTTAAAAATAGAGATAACTTGACCTCTTCTTTTCCAATTAGTACACATTTAATTGCCTTCTCTTGTCTTATTGCTCTAGCAAGAGTTTCAGTGGCTATATTAAAACAGAGTAGAGATAGTGGACAGCCTTGTCTAGTTACTGATTTTAATGAGAATACTTCCAGTCTTTCCCATTTAGAATGGTATTGGCCATGGATTTGTTGTATATATCTTTAATTATGTTCAAATATGGTCCCTCCCTCCAGTTCAATTTCCTCTAGGACTTTCAACATAATTACATGTTGAATTTTGTCAAGGCTTTTTCTGCATCTATTGAGATGGCCATGTGATTTTTGTCTGAGTCGACTCATTTATATGATTTATAACATCTATTGACTTATATATATTGAACCATCCCTGCATCTCTGGATTAAAGCTGATTTGATCATGGTAGATGATCCTTTTATGTATGTCTGTATGTGATTTGCAAGTATTTTGTTGAGAATTTTTGCATCTATGTTCATCAAGGATATGGGTCTATAGTTTTGTTTTGGGTTGTGTCTTTACCTGTTTGGGTATTAGAGTGATGCTGCCTTCACAGAAGAGTTTGGGGATTTCTCCCTCTGATTCCTTTTTAATAACCTAAGTAGTAATTGTTGTAGATCTTCTTTAAAAGTCCAGCAGAATTCTGCTGTGAATCCATATGGGCCTGGACATTTTTTAGTCTGGAGGTTTTATATTACAGAATCAGTTTCCTTGTTTGTTATGGGTCTTTTTAAGCTATTGATCTCTTCTTTGTTTAGCTTTGGTGGTTCCCATGAATTTAGATATCCATCCATTTCTTTTAGGTTTTCAAATTTAATAGAGTATAGGTTTTTAAAGTATTCCTTTACAATGTTCTAGATCTTTTTGGTGTCTGTTGTGATGTTTTCCCTTTCATCTCTGATTTTGTTTATTTGGATTCTTTTCTTTGTTTCTACTTTGGTAATTTCTGCTCTGATTTTTGTTATTTCTTCTCATCTGCTGGGTTTTTGTTTCATTTGTTCTTGCCTTTCCAGAGTCTTGAGTTGAAATATGAAGAATTAATATTTAGAGAACTCTTGCTAGGAGGCAAGTCTGGTGCCACATGTCTCACAGGTGTGATCTAAACCTGTCCCCATAAGATCAGTAGTTTTATTACTTCCTTTTTACAGATTAAAAAAGTGAAACAGGTTCACACAGTCATAGACAGAACTGGGACTCCATCAATTCCTGCTCACAGGGTCTTCCAGGACTCTGCACGTCTCTCTCCAATGAGAAATATTAGAGAATTATACTTTTCAGATTTATATCCTCTGTAGTTGAGCAGACAAACTCTCTGCCAAAACATGGCCACCTTTAACTTGCCTATCCATAAGTTCTAAAGAAAGAGGATCAGTGTGATAAAGAAATTAATGTACAGAATTCACAGAGCTACTGAGCTAGAATTCACAAGAGAGGAGGTCAAAAGTCAGAAGACAGAAGTACCAACTGCCTTAGAAATCAGTAATGAAGGGAAGAATGAACACGGGCAGGTGGTTTAACTATCTTTTAACTCTCAGATGTGGTGATTATTCAGCTTGGTCCACAACAATTTTCATTCCTGCACTCATTTAAAATTTTCACTTTTACTGAGAGTCTTCAGGGTCTTTAAGAAATTTAAAACTCTCTCTGTGAGTGTGCCAAGATAAATGTCTAGGGTTCACTGTCACACATAGTTTCACCTCCAAAATTCCCATATCTCATGCCTCTCAGAGAACTGCTGTGGTCTCCCCATGACCTCTGCCTCCCTGACATTGAGTTTTCAGGAGCTGTTGCTAGAAAACAGACCTCAGTAACTAAAGCATTTCCTTTGTCCTGTGCACAATGCAGAGGCACTTTCAGAATCAGAGAAAGTTTCTGCTAAGCCTTTCAGCTAAGCATTAATATTTATTAATCTGCACTGCCCTGTATAATGAATATTTTATTATTAAAAATGAGTAGCAACAAAGTGGGAATTTCAACCACAAGCAACCCACTCTTCCAATGATAGAGAGCTCAGATGGGATTTCCAATGCACTGCCACTCTATTCTAGAAGATTCCTATTCACTGTTTTAGACAAGACAGCAATTGACTGCTGTCCATTTGTGGTTACCAGAGGCCGTAATCAAGGTTATCAGCTTGGTTTTCATTATCAGTAAGAGGCAAATAAACTGAAATTGTGAATTAGCATTATATTAATGCCACATTTAAAAACCAGAACACTTGTTACTGGGACTAAAGACTATTTTAAAAGTTCAGAATTACATACACATTTTAAATTTAAATTAGATCAGTGCCCAAAGAATTCAGAAAAGGGAGGATCCCTCTCCCAGATTTGAACAAAAGCATGCCTGTTCATTCACTCACTATTCATTATGTTTCATTTTCCAGGCACATAGGACTGTGGGGTTTTCAATCACCATCAAGGTCTAAAAAATTACTTCCATGAGCTCTTCACTATTGAAAACTGTCCTTACTAAATCACTTTGTAATTCCTTTAATACACTACTCAGCCTTACTACAGCATTGCATGGTGAGTTATTACATACTAGAAAAAGCAAGAGCATCTCATCTGTATAATTAATGGACACAATGCACAAAGGCACAGAAATAAAAACCCAGTAGCATCTATTTCTGTCCTGTTGATTTCAGTGATTCAGTGCAGTGATAACTGTGCTGAGACGGAACAACAAGCAGCCTGTGGAATGTTCCCTTTTCATCCTCTCGAGTGAAGCTCCTACCTAAACACTTTAGCAATAGCTTTCCAATACACCATATGTTTCCACTGGATCTAAGCAGGGTGGTAAGGGGAATATGCATACATTTTTGGTTCAGGCCTAAGTATAAATTCTGGTTATATACTTACCTGGCAGGGGAGACACCATGAGGAAGGTGGCTTTCCCAGGGTGAGGTTCATCCATTGCACTTGGGATGTGCTGACCCCTGTGATTTCCCCAAACGCAGGAATCTCAATTGCATAGTTTCTGGTAGTGGGGGAATGCGTTCACGCTCTCCCCTGTAATTAAAATAAAAATTCTGGTTATATGAGTACATTTTTGGATAACTTAACTTTACCTCTCCATTTTTTCATCTTCAACATGAACATGTAGGATTGTTACAAGGAATATAGATTAAAGACTATACTGAAATGGCTCTATTTTAGATAGTGTAGTTCATTATGAAATTAGAATAAAAGTAGAGGAGCTAGAATATAACAGAGGTAGGTCAGACATGGTGGCACACACCTTTAATCCCAGCACTTGGGAGGGAGGTGGATCTCTGTGAGTTTCAAGCCAGCCTGGTCTACCTAATGATTTCCAGGCCAGCTGAGGCTATAGGAAGACCCTGTCTCTAAAAAAAAAGGTAAACATTTTAGGTCTGATTCATTTTTATCTCATGAGACAGTTATTTTACATTCAAGTTATTTCATACTTAAAGTGTCTTATAGTAAGGATAGAGTTGATTTTTTAAAAAACAAATGGGATTGGTCAAAAAGACCACATTTTCCCTAACTGCAAGAACTGACCTCCATCATCAATAATAACAATTGTTCTATAGTGCCTGTTAAACTATAGACATGGTAGAAGAAATAAATATATTAAGTTTTAAAGCTATGTTTGGTTTATTAATAAACTATTTCAAAATGAAATAGCCAACAGCATGTAACTTTTTAATGCAATGAAAGCACAAACTGTAGATTTGGTAAGTAAATGCTTCTTGAAGACAGTCTTACTTTGAAGGGAACTTTTACCATTAATCTTGCTTCTATTCAAAGTAACTCTAGGAAGAAGATACACCTCCACTGTACCGAAGAACTGTGCTCCTTCTTCCATCCCTCTGGTTCTCCTTCTCATATCTTGTTTTCGCCTCTCTGACTTCGGCTTCTTCTTTTGCTACCTGCAGGTAGTCCGTCCATACCAGACCATGTCCAACCCCATGAGCAAGCTCACAGTTCTCAACAGCATGCATTCCCATTTCATCCTGGCTGACAATGGAACCACTGGAAAATATGGAGCAGAGGTGAAACTCCGGAGACAACTGGAAAAGCATATCTCACTCCAGAAGATAAACACAAGTAAGTAAGCACCCTGCCACTACTATGCCTCGTAGAAAACATGCTCGAGATGATTAAGTGTACCATACAGCAATAATATAAAAACTTGAGCAAGTTGTAAGCCCAGGCCATCATTCCTCCTGGGCCAGTAGTTAGAGTGAGATCAAGTTAGCCAAGGGAGGACAACTTGAGCTACCAGAATACATAGCACAATTAATGCGCTCATGCTCATTTATCATACATAAAAATTTCAGCCCCATCTGGGGTTTAGGAATGCAGATGAGCTTTCTTTCAAGCTTTTCCTACTTCTTTTCACAGTACTCCAGAGAAGAAAGGCACCCCAGAGAAATTGTTTCTATTTATTTAGCTGTTTTTTTTTTTTTTTTTAGTGACTAAAAAAGAGAAACAAAATCAGGTTTTGATCTCAGCACAGATCTGGCTGTGCAAAGGGGGTCTCACAAGAACTGAATCTCTGAACTAAAGCATCCCAGGAAAGTATCCTGATGAAGCTCTAATTTTGTCTCTATATTTATGTATGTATGTAATCGTTGTCTCTAGATATGCATACATTTTGATCTATGTGTCTATTTATGTATACCACATAATACATATCCAATGGCTATATTAACATCCGTTCCTAGGAACTCGTGAGCTCTAGGCTAAAGTTATCATGTAAAAATTCCACTGTAGAAACAATAGTCCCATGACCATCCACTAAGGATCTTCACAAAATAAAAATCTTTTGTTTTCATAAAGTGGCATGTGAGGTTTCAGTGGCTTGAAAGCTCAAACTGTGTGGCAATATCCAAGAAATACACACACACACACACATACACACACACACACACACACATACACATATATATCTACAAAAATTGGATTTAATTGATTAAAATTCCAAATTCCAAAACCTGTAGTTCCAAGAAACAGTAGGTTCCACTACTTTTCAAAATCCCAGTGTACTGTTTCAACTTGTCCAAATCCTGTCTCTCTTCTCTGCCTTGACACCAGATGGACCTTCCTCTACACAGCCACCTTCCTCCCAGAGCTAGGATGTTGGGCCCCTCTAAGCTTGACTTCTTCCTCTTGCTTTGTCCCTAGTCTCCCCTTTAAGACTTTAAGAACTACTAGTGCTTACTCAGCCAGGCTTCAGCCTGTCATCCTACTCAGAGTGAAGTCTATAATAATAAATGTTGGCTTATGTCTGAAAGAAGTATATTAGCAATCTCCTTTCTAAAATCTTTGCAAAGAAAGACCATAGCTATATCCAAGGTGAACATTTTCTGAGGAATAAAGCATAGGAAAGGATTTTAAAAATAACTGACCCAAAGGCTAGCAGAGACCAACCGTAACAAAGCACAACCATCCGCAGGTGGTAAGCTTTGCCAAAAATCCCAATGCTGAACTTCATCAGAGACCTGATAGGATGAATGGGAAGATGTTCTATGATCTGGACTAGTTAAGCTTTTATAAGCTACAGTGTTCATTCCTCTTCTACCATCAAGTTAAGAAGGAGAGCTTAAAGAGAAATTAGCTGAAAACAACCAGAAAAACACAAGAGCAAAGAAACAAGGAATGGATTCAGGGTCAGGTTTAATATAAGGTAATAAAAAAAAATCTGTCTATACTAGCAAAGCCTATCACTGTGCTAGGCCCTGAGCTGGCTAGTTAGTAGTGTGGGGAGCAGAGCTAGATGTATAGTTGGATGAGTTAGGCATCCAGCAAAAGAGATGCAAGATGGAGTTAAATCCATTCAGGGCTTTTAGCTGAGCCTTATGCTTTATAGGCTGCCCAGAGGGAAGGCTGCCTTTTGATGTATAATTTATGTGCTAGCAGGGTGCCTTTCTCCAAAGTTTGCAGAGGTGTTGAATGTGTAAGTGGGCTTTTGGGGAGGCCCAGAGTAGGTCAGGAACAACAGCTGTAATCTTGATAAGCAGCAGAGTCTAGCCACATGCAGGGTGAAGGGCAGCCATAGCAGATGATTAGGGACACTAGAGGAGACCTTACCAAATGCTCATCTGTGGGTTGGTAGGTCATCGGGCACACACCACATCACATCTCATTTATGGAGACAGTAGGCCCTTGCTTAACCAAGGCTAAGCTTAGTTCCATATAGACAAGTAAGAATCCAAGCAAGAGGCGTAGAGGAAGAGCAAGAGCCCAGCTACCAGGGGAATTACTTTGGGTTCGAAGCATCATAGGAGTCCACAGGCTCTCATTCAGCAAATATGAGCAGTGGCAAGAGCAAGAGGTGGGTTACAGAAGCCCAAATAAGCCCCAGAAATCACAGGAAGTTAAAAGGTATAGGAGCAGGGTTGTGCCCTAGAGCTGCAGTAAATGATGTCAGGAGTTACAGCCTACACCAGGTCTAATCCTAAACTTAAAAAATGGTAGTAACTCATTCATTGTGGTTTACCTGGGACTGTCTCGGCATTTCCCTTAGTCTCAGAAAAACTGAAATGATACATCACCATCACCAGGTGCATAAAATGATGTCTAAGTCATAAGGTTGACTTTACTTCTTACTGCAGTCAGCCCCTTAGGGAGAGAGGAAACACAGCCTCCTTGGATGTAAAGACCACCCCAGGCTCCTTGAAACAGAGCTTTCCATTCAGTAAGCAGTGTGGAAAATTTCCCATGACAATCATAGAAGCGCCCAGAACAGAACTAACAGGGGCCAAAAAATTGGTCATAACATTAATCAGCCTAAAAACACAAACTTTTAAGGCAGTCCTGCTCAGTGTTCACAACAGCAATTCTACTTTCTTTATATCATAATTATCAATTAGTGGTTCATCCTTTCGATAATTAAATTTTATTCTACTAGTTCATTCTAAAATTCTATGTATGTTTTCATTCCGTGCTTTAAAATCTGAAATACAAAGAACTCAATTCCCTGAAAATTAGACACTCTACCACAGCAATCCTGCCCGCCACCTTTTACACCCCAGGGATGTCAGAACCCAGTGAACACTTTCCCCACTGAAGCACCAGACCTCATCACTCAGGGGAACCATGCACACAGCAGTAGCTTATCCAGAAGCCTGTTTTCTTATATAAATGGCACCAGCTTCTGGAGAATTCTTTTAAATAAAATAAAAAGTAAATCCTGCTTAGATCACCCATATGCCCTTTCTCATCAGCATGCCAATTACCAAGAATACAAGCACCAAATGTTTTGACATTTCACATGCACTTGACATCCATTAACCCATCCACATCCTTCGAGAGATCCTTCAGTTGTCATTAGTGAGTAGAGAGACTGTCAGAGATTATTGATGGGCTCTGTTTGTTTTATTCTATTTTTAAAAACTTTTACTGATTCTTTGAGAATTTCATACAATGTATTTGATCACATTTTCTTCATCTCCTTACCACATGCTACCCAACTTCATGTCCTCTATGATTTTTTTTTTTTAATTAGAAGAAGCATTTCATTACAACAGCATTAACCTATTCAATAACATTTTTCTGAGCTAGGGTACATCTCTTTCAAAATTGGCTGTACATTTTTAGGTTTACAGAGGAATTATTACGCTTGTACAATCTTTTACTGATTATAAACTCTACAAGACATAAAATTAAATGAGGTTTTAATGTTTAGAAAAGATCTCCACTTCGTTGTTAAAATACAGTTTCATACAGAAAAATTCATTTTAAGGCAACTGACATTGAGACGTTTTCACATGCATTTCTAATCTCTATATATAAAACTCATCAGATAGACAGCCTTCCTCTCCCACTAGAGCCTCCATACTCTGCCATCCCTGCCACTGTCCACTGTGCTGTCAGAACCCCCATCCATTCCCCCCTATCTGCCCTTCTGGTAAATCTAGTCAGCCAGAGGTCCCTGTTCCAGGAGGATCAGCTGTATGATTATTTTTAAAAACATATAAAGTCTAATTTGTGTTCCCCAAATGCTCACGAGTGGGCGGGGTTCCATTCCCTGAAGGCTGGTCAACCTA